AGTATGAAATAGTCAATATATTAATTTTTTAAAAGTATTACTTTAAACCTTCTGATATAAGCCTTATAAAACTAATGAAAGTAATTTCAGAGAACACAACTTTGGAAATACTTTTAGTAATAGCAACCACGCTAGAGTCATTTCCAAGGTGACAGTGCTGAAAGATAATCCTCAGTTGAATTAAAAATTTATGATTGGGTTAATAACCCCATTTTTCTGCTGATAATGAACTCTGTGCCTTTCATAGTCCTACAGTCCACTAAGCTATTTTACCCCAAACCTCTTGATTATAGTGGTAACTAGTTTCTGATGAGAGCATAGCATATGTGGTCTCTGTTTCATCTCTAATCTTTTTGTTTTTCTTTGAGGCCATACCTGGCAGTGTTCAGGGACTACTCCCAGCTCTGCTCCAGGTTCACTCGTGTGGTACTCAGGGCGCTGTGTACTGAGGAGCAAACCTGGGCCTTCTGCAATGCATAACATATACTGTTGAGCTATAGGTATGGCCCCTCATCTCTGATCATTTTCTAAAATATATTAAAATTTTTAAATTTAGTCACCATGAATCACAGCGTTTTTCATGATTGGGTTTTTGTGTACAGTGTTCTGACACCAACCCCTCCACCAGTGTCCCACCCACAAGCCTGCCTCTATGAGAGTCACCTGCCCCTTTATATTTTTATTTTTTGGCAGTGTTACTGATAGGGTTTCATGCAGAACATTTCACCTATCAACACTCCTCTCAAGTGATCACTTACTTACCTCCACCATTGTCAGCATTTTGTCACAGTGTTTCCTGTTCTATCCACTCCCTACCTACCCCGCATTTGCCAAGCTTCCTACTGAAGACCTGTAGGATCATCTCCGATCTTCTAAGTGACTTACAAACAACAACAGCAAAATACATTTAAATCAGTTATAAATTTTCTATTATTATTAGCCTCCTTCCTTGCAGCCCTTTTCAACAATTTTTCTATCTCTTCCCACAATGCATCTTGGCTTTCCACCGTTCTTGGATATGTCACCCTTTTGCTCAAACTCCTGCATATTCACCTTTTTAATGGCCTATTTCAATAGAGAGTTAACAGTTGCAAGTTCAAACTTAGGAGACAATGTACTTATATGCAGGATATTCAAAGACTTCCTGCATCATCTTCTTTCTATGTGGCTTCCCAGTGCTACTTCTAGCACTGCACTGCCCTGCTGTTTTTCATTGATTTGCTCGAGTGGGCCCAGTAACGTCTCCATTGTTGTTACTGTGTTTGGCATATTGAATATGTCACGGGTAGCTTGCCAGGCTTTGCCGTGCGGGCGACGGTAGCTTGCTGGGCTCTCAGAAAGGGGCGGAGGAATCGAACTTGGGTTGGCCGGGTCACCTGCTTGCAAACACTCTACCCGCTGTGCTATTGCTCCAACCCTACCTACTATCCTGTGCTATCTACTACCTACCTATCCTGTGCTACCTACTACCCGCTGTGCTTATCCTACTGGAGGCATAGCACAGCGGGTGGGGTGTTTGCCTTGCATGTGGCTATCCGGGGTGATCTGGGTTCGATTCCTCTGCCCTTCTTGGAGAGCCTGGCAAACTACCGAGAGTATCTCGCCCGCACAGCAAATCCTGGCAAACTCCTCGTGATGTATCCAATATGCCAAACACAGTAACAATAAGCTATTTCTATATACCTAAAAAAAAAAAACCTTAATTTTGCCATTTACTCAACTTTGGTTTTACAGTGTTATGGAATCTCAAGGGACTCTGTTCATGCTTCTAGATGGGAGAGAATGATAGCTTAACAGGCTGAGTGCTCTGCACTTGGGAGGCCCAGATTTGATCTCTGTATCATATGGTTCCCCCCTTGCAGTATTGGGAGCATCCCTCAAGCACAGGAGAAGCCAAGAGTAATCCTTGAGAAGTGCTGAGTATGGCCCCAAAACAAAACAAAATTTTTAAAACAAAGAACATAAAAATTATAATTTCATACTTTCATATGTGTGTAATTGTCATGATCCCCACAACCATTTCAATATTATCCTTCCGCCAAAAAATACCTTTGTTTATTCCTCATATCTCTTTTTCCCTGTGGTTCCCACTATAATTTTCAGAGTATATTAGTAGGCTTTGTTGTTTCTTGACAGTTTGCTTAGTAATTTACATTTAATACATGTTTGTAGTCATTTGGTAGTTATTGCTTTTAAATTTTTTTCAACCCAAGACATATTTTTGTCTCAGAAGCACAATTTCATCTTTCCTAGTGACTAATATTACATTGAGTATATATACCACATTATTCTTATTTCATTATCTGTTGATGGACATTTTAGTTGATTTCTTATTTTGTCCTTATGTTACTGCCAGTCCACCTTCCACCTATTTAGTCGCTTCAACCCTATACTTGATATTCTTCATTCTGTAAACCAAGGTCTAGGCTTCATTATAATTGAATCGTGTCTGGTTCCTTCTTTGGTTCTCTGTAAACCACATATAAGTGGGATCATCTGGTATTTGTCCTTTTCCTTCTGGCTTATTTCAGTTAATATGATACCCTCCAGTTCCATGCAAGTTGTAATAACTGAAAGATTTCATATTTTCTTATGGCTGCAGAGCATTTCATTATTTATATACATGCCACTTTTTTTGTATTTGAATCAATTCAAATTTTTATGCCCACTTTTTCTCAAGACAATTTATACATTGCCATTTTAAATGACATTTTTTGTGAAGGAGGTACTAATTTATAACATTAATAAAAGTCTCTTTTGTATATCACAACTACTTTCTCCATTCATCTGTCATTGGACACTCAGGTTGTTTCTATACCCCGAATAAGTATGCACATGTCTTGTTGAATTAAAAAAAAGGTAAAGGCCCTCCCGTTGATCGTCGATTTGCTCGAGCGGGCCCAGTAACGTCTCCATTGGAGACTTTGTTGTTACTGTGTCTGGCATATCGAATACTCTCGGTAGCTTGCCGGGCTCTCTGAGAGGGGCGGAGGAATCGAACTCGGGTCGGCCTTGTTGGCTGCTTGTAAGGCGAACGCCCTACCCGCTGTGCTATCGCTCCAGCCCCTTGTTGAATTGCCTTTTTAAAAAATTTTAATGTTTTTGGGGTAGATGCCAAGAAGTGGAATAGTTGGGCCATTGGGAGCTCTTTTTTTTTTTTTTTACTTTAGAAATCATTACCTTAGTAATAACAAGTCTCACAATTTGTTGTAAGACATTACTGGTGCCCACTTGAGCAAATCCATGAGCAATGGGAGAACAGTGCTACAGTGCTTCAGTGCTACTGTTCTCCATACAGACTGAAAGATACAACATTCCCACCAACAATGAGTGAATGAGCGTTCCTTTCTCACCATATTCCCATTAACACTGCTAGTTACAGTATTAATACAGTATTTTATAATAACACTGACTAGTGCCTTATAAATGTGCCATTCCTACTGGTGTGAGTTAATATCTAATTGTCATTTTAATTTATATTTCCCTATTTATAAGTGATGATGAATGCTTCTCCCAATGTTCTCTGATCATTTGTATGTCCTCAATAGAATTTTCTTTTCCTTTACCCACCCCATTTTTGATGGGGTTATTATTATTATTATTATTAACTTTTTTGAATCACTGTGAGCTAGACCCTTACAAAGCTTTTAATGATTGAATTATTACTATTATTATTATTATTATTTATTTGCCATGAAAATCTCCAATGGGAGAACTTTATTTATTGATGATTTTTTTTTTATTTAATTTATTTTTTAAAATTTGTTCACAGTAATTCATTACATTTAATATTCGAACACAAATCCCAGCACCACTACCCCTTTTCACCACCATATTTTGAATGTTTCCATCCCAAATCCCAAGGCGTGTCTCCCAAAGTGGAACTGAAACAATTAATTTTGTATTGCTTGTTATGAATGATCTGCTAAAAATTGTCCAATAAAGTGTCCTTAGAGGAAAGTGTTTGAAGACTGTTGTATTTCATCCTGGAGCCATTAAGCCCTTGTATAAGCAATTTCTAACATGTTTGTTAAACCCCTTCAAATGTTCTGTGCTACTCTTGGTTCATCAGTGGTATAGAGTATAAGAGGTCTAGGAATTCTAAAAGTTAGAATACAATTATACAGCAGATTCACTCATGAATGAGGCTGTTGCCAGGGGTAGTTTGTGGGTGTGACTGCCAAGCTATTGGTAAACTAGGGAGATAGGAGGTGGAGGCCCATTCCTGCTCTGAGAGAGCTTGGAGATTTCAGCCATACGTCCCGAATACCTGAGTTTTTTCTGCACATTCACTCATGGATGAGGCTCGTCCGAGCCTATAGAGAACTGCCAGGAGCATGGTGGCAATTGAGTTCTGGAGGTTTTTGGTGCCAGGGCTCTGTTGGGGTGGGGAAGGAAACTCACCCACACACCTCCAAGTTGCCCCGGTTAAGACACTCTGACAGTGTGTAGAGGCATGGGGTTATTAATTTTTTGTTGTTGCTGAGCTTTATGAGTGCTTTATATATTTTGGATGTTAATCCTTTATTTGATATATTGTGTGCAAATATTTTCTTCCATCTTGTACACAGTTTATTTGTAAGTAAATATGTTTGTTTTGTATATTATCTACATTGAGAGTTTTACTTTAAGTAGCTTGTTTGAATATTAGAAATATATCACACAATATATTTGTAGCTTAATAATAACTAACAGATGTTTCAATTTCTCTAAAATGTTTTAGAAATTTAAATACTAAGTCATTCTAAATACACTCAGCATTAAACAGCTTATTTATCATTGATAATTCAAATATGTGCACTTCTTGTTACATTCTTCAGTGAGATTAATACTAGGTCTGAGTGGTGAAAGTATATTGATTCCTTTTTACAGCATTTATTACTCATTAAATTAGGGTACATCAGCATTTTCATCTCAAATATCAATAGCGATCAATGGTTCTCAGCTTTATTAACAAGACAATAATTAATTGGTACCTCTTTTTAATTGTCTTAAAATAGAACAGAGATTTCTTCAGATGACTTTCTGCTTGACTCAACTACACCTGTGGTCTTTGAAGAATACTTTACACATTAGTGGTAAGTAAGCTCTAGATTAATTTCGATGTTTTTCAAATATCAGTTAGACCATTATAAGTAAGAAGTAGTAATGGTTGGAGCCTGTATTCCTCCAATGGGATTTGCATTATTTCTTTGTATTTACAAAACATCTATTGGAAAAGAATTCTTTTAGTTATTATGATTAATGTACTTCAGCTTGAGTTAAATTTTTCATTTGAAAATTAATTTTACTGGCTTGATATTTGAGTTTTGATATTTTGCAGGAGGATTGGACCACATCCAGTGGTGCTCAGGACTCACTCCTGGCATTGTGCGCAGGGGTTATTTCTGGCGGTGCTCAGGGAACCATATATGGTGTCGGGAATGTATTATCTTTCTGTTCCCTATTGCTTATTGATTGATTGATTGATTTTGATTTCGATTTTGAAGCCATTCCCAAGGGTGCTCAGATCTTATTCCTGGCTCTATGAGATCAATCCTGATAATGCTTGGGGGATTATATACTGTACTGGGAATCAAACCTGTATTGCCTCCATGCAAGACAAGTACTCTACCCACTGTACTACCCCTCAGGCACACTTTATTTTTTTTTCTGGCCCATTTTTAAAACAAAATATGTAGTTTCATTTTTCCTATAATTGCTTATAATAATTATATATTTAAAACTATTTTCACCACCAGGGTTGACTCCTGTGCATCTCTGGGTGTGACCCAAAAAGCAAAAATAAATAAATAAATTAATTAAAAGTACTTGCAGGCTGGCATATCGAATACTCTCGGTAGCTTGCCGGGCTCTCCGAGAGGGGCGGAGGAATTGAACTCGGGTCGGCCATGTTGGCTGCGTGCAAGGCAGACGCCCTACCCGCTGTGCTATCGCTCGATATGCCAGACACAGTAACAACAAAGTCTCCAATGGAGACGTTACTGGGCCCGCTCGAGCAAATCGATGATCAACGGGAGGGCCTTTACTTTACTTTACTTACTTGCAGGCTAACAGTAAAGGTATTTTAATTGATATTAAAGTAATACCTTAAGCTTACAGCTAAGATAAAAATTTGTACACTAATTTTTTTTCATTTCACTTTTAGAATCAAGGTAATTAATACATGTGCTTCAATAGTTATTATTTTATAAAGCATATATATTTAGGAAACTTTTTTTTACAAAGCTTTTCCTCTTTGATTATCCCAAATAACTCCTGTTTTAGGACATTTTTTGCCTTGCAAAGTATGATTTCATTGAATTTTGTTTTTGTTTTTGTTTTGCTTTTTTGAGTCACATCTGGTAATGCACAGGGGTTACTCCTGGATCTGCACTTAGGAATTACTCCTGGCAGAGCTCAAGGAACCATATGGGATGCTGGGGATTGAACCTGGGTCAGCTGCACACAATTAAATGTCGCACCCACTGTATTATAGCTCCAGCCCCAGAATTATTTCATTGTATTTATAGATAAATATAATTAAATAAATATCGATAGCACAGTGGAAAGGCGTTTGCCTTGCACACAGCCAATATGGCCGACTCAAGTTCCATTCCTCCGCCCCTCTCGGAGAGCTACCGAGAGTATCTCACCCGCACGGCAGAGCCTGGCAAGCTACCCGTGACATACTCGATATGCCAAACACAGTAACAACAAGTCTCATGATGGAGACGTTACTGGGCCCGCTCGAGCAAATCAATGAACAACGGGAGGACTGACCGTTATTTTAAATATCATAAATATCATTTACTTTATTAATTTTTTACTTGCTTAAAAAAGCATAAGCTCAGGGTGGCACTGGTGGACCCTGACACTGCATGATCTGAGCACTACTTGCATCCTCTGCTTCCTAATATTAAGCTGCTTATCTGGTTGGCTGAGAATTGTAGGGAATGGCTTCTTGTCAGTGTGAGAACCATTTGGGAACCCTCCCAAAAGAAAGGATGAAAAGAGAGGGTGGAAGAAAGAATGGGAGGGAGGATGGAAGGGAGGTAAGCATGAGGGAATTTTCTCTAGTGAGATCTGTCTATCTTGACATTTTAGGAAATACTCTAGCAACCACCAAGGACCCTAGCTGGTCACTGATACCCATCAGCTGGCAAATCCTAGTCATGCTCAAAGGTTGAGAATAACACTGGCAAGCATGGCAGTTAAAAAAAAAAAGAGTGAGTGACCTAGCTGTACTCAGGGCTTACTCCATAATGTGATCAGGGTTCATTCCAGACAGGTGCAAGGGACCATATGTGGTACAGGAGACTGGGCCCACTGCGAGCAAGGCAAGTACCTTACTTGCTATACTATTCTCTGACCTTATGTCCCATACATAGTTCTTGAATGCTATTTTTTTTTTGCAGGGGGTGTGGATGTGGGTGTTTTACACTCCTTTTCCTTTTTGTGGTTCAGTTTGGATAATCTGTAATCTATCTTCAGATTAATGGATTTTTTCCCTTGTCCAATCAGTCTATTTAATAAACTTATAAAAATAATTTTTAAAAGGTGTGTGAGAGCGAAAGCCAGGATGTGTGTATATGAACGCTGAATACTGTCATGACCTCCTGCAAGTACAACAGTCATAACCATGTGCCTCAGTTAAAAACTGCAACCCTTGATGAGCGTGTTTGCAAGCACTAAAGGGGAGCACAGGCATGTAAACCTCCGTGAGCATCATGACCGGTTGTGCTTGCACCACAGTCTGATGCACCAACAATCACTGAGCTTAAAAATTATGTTAGCACCACAGCCATAGTGTCGTCGTCCCCCCCGCCCCAGCCCTCCAGGGATACCTGAGTGCAGAGCCAGGAATAAGCCCTGATTACTGCTGGGTGTGGCACCCAGACAAACAAATCTATGTATCTCATTGGGGATGGAAGAGATAGTATAGTGGCTGACCCAGATTCAATCTCTGGCACTGCAGGTAGTGATCCTTCAGTACAGAGCCAGGAGTAAACACTGAACACCCCTGTGTGTGACCCACCCCAAACAAACAACCCCCCCTCCCAAAGTCCCCCAAAAGTAAAACAAAAAACTGTATGTCTAAGCTTATAGAATGGTGAATAAATTTGAGTATCAATAGCTACATATGATTAGTTGTTTTGAAAAACTGCATTTGAAAAGTTCATTCTAGCTCTGCTGTATTTTTTTGAGGTTTCTTAATTCAGAGAAAGTTTGAGCAGTGAGTCACTAGGGGGCAGCCTGCACTGCTTCCACTTCTTTAGGAATAGAATCTTTGTCAGCAACAGGGTGTTTGCTATTTTGTATGGAAGGAAACAACTGTTACTTCAAAGAAAAATATTTCGCTGCTTTTGGGACGAAAACACAAAATTATTTTGTTCTTCTGTAGTTAAGTTGCCGGAACTGATTCATAGTTGAATCGCTGTTAACATCTGGGAAACCCAGCTTTGCTTCTTTTTTGTAGCCCCAACAGAACATTCGAATTTGAATAGGTTTGGAAGGGCTTTTTTCTCTCTCTCTCTCTTTTTTTTGTATCTAAATAAACTTCAGATAATTTATCCATACCTTCCTTTAATCCTCTCTTTCTTTCCTGCAGCTTTTCCCCAAACTCCATATTGAATTGAGTTAAATTGTAAAAAAGAAAACCATACTCCAGAATCTAATAGGGCATTTTCTTCCATCCACTAATTTTGTTTGGATATTGCTTAGTGTCAATTCCTTTTGGTAGTGACCTGTGAAAAATGTCAGAGGAAGTGTGAAAGAGAAAGGTTGGTCTCCCTTTATTTCAGCTTTTTTATTCTTCATGCTATTTTAGCTTTGTGTAAATCTTTCCTAATTAGATTGGTGAATTTTCCAATTCATACCTATTCCTAGAAAATTAACTCATGTCTAGATAGTTTTGGACTATTTTATTTCTAAAAATATAAAGAGATTATTTTTATCTCTTTATGAAAGAGATAAAAATAAACCAAAAATAAACTTCGTAGCCTACCTCACCACAGTCATATAATAAGGTTTGTTTTCTTATTCTTTATACTTTTTTTTACAATTCCTTTTTTTCTGTCCCCTTGTAGATAGAGACATCGGGGTCTACCAATATTATGACAAGAAGGAGCTACCTGGTACAGTTTCCTTTCTACACAAATAATTTTTGCAAACTAGTATTTGAAACTATGAAATACAGACCTTTAGATGAACTCTGTGTTTATGAACCTGAGATAATTTCTAGACTTTCAAGAAAAGTCATTTTTAGTTTTTTGGAAAAATGTTAGTGATGGTTCCTACTCTGTATAAAATAAAGCAGTGTTGAGAAAATGTTATAAAAAAACATGAAAATTTCATTTTATTGCTGATTAGATTGATAACTGGACAGTCAATTCACGCTTATTTATCAGTGTCCCAGTAGAGGGCATTGTTAATGCACGGGTCCCACTGACGCTGGCCTCCTGGATCCTTACCTGATATCTGAAATAGGCATTTCTGAGTGAATGATCAATTTTCTTTATCTGATTAATCCTGCTAATCCCAGAAGTTTCATGATGGGCCAAAAGGTCTTTCTAGCTAGAGTTACTTCCTGTTTTGGTCTCTGTTGAAGTAGGACTTGTGTGGGCATCCTGTGTGCTTTGCTTGGTTCTTAATAGTCTGACTTCATGGTTCTGATGACAGACTGAAGCAGCCTCAGTTCTGGGCTTGGTTGCAGTTCTCTTTTCAATGTGATGAGATTGCGAGCTCAGGATATTGGCCCACCTGTTGTGCTATGTAAGCCTTTTCACTGCAAATTTAGGAAATACTTCTATAAAATTAAAATATCCAAATTATGACATTTTAAACTATCTTTTAAAAATTCAGCATAATTTATTGTCTCAGTAGTATGTGCAGTATATTTATATGTGCATGTGAAACTATAGCTTATTATAATAAAAATAATTTTCAGTTTTTTTCTCTTTCTGTTTCTCCTTCCCCGAGCTACAGAGCATGGTCACTTAGAAGAAAAGCAGAAGCTGGCAGAATGTAAGCTTACTGTATATATTTTTTTAAGTTATGATAAAACTGAATTTTAACATCCCTGAATTTTAGTGTTAAATAGTATTTTAAGTTCTACACAAATAGGAACTATTATTCTCTTCAAATTTCTTAATTTATAAATTTTCATTGTTTGGTTTATAAACTGAGTGAATTATATTTGTTAAGTATTTCTAATTGAAATCTTTATTCAGTTCTGGTAAGATATATGCTAATGTGAGCACAAACTTTCTTAACCACATTTTTATTACCTGAAGTATTTAAAATAAATATACCATGTTCCAGTAACATTTTATTCTGATAACTTTTTATTATTTATACTCTGCCAAATTATTATGTATTTTACCCATTTTAAGAAAGAAAATAAGATTTAGAAAGATTATTTGCATTTTATTCTCTAAATTCTTAAATATGTAAATATTTATGAAACTTGACTGCAAAACAATATGTTTTTGATGACTTAATAGTGTCTTATTTGTAATCTAGGTGGAGCTGGTACTCCTTATTATCCTTGTATTTTTAATGATTGGACTGACTTTTAGTTTAAAAACATTTTTAATAACTGAAACACAGACTTGGAATTTTGCACACATGCTGTACATAACATAAATTGATTATAGAACGAAGTTAATTTCCTGAAATGATTTTGAAATGTAAATTAAAATTTTAATGTAATTTCTAAATTTCTGTAATATTTAAGTTTCTATATATTGCATATACTTATGCACATGCAAATACACATGTGTATGACTTGTTTATACTTATTTAGGAGATTTCAAGGTAAATTTATTTTCACAGTTATATAGACATGATGAATTTAAAATTTTTATCCTGTAAGCAGCACTAATTTTAGTTTTTTAAAAATACTGAGCTATGCTTTTTATCTCCAATAATTTTATCTTCAAATATATTTAAAACAGAGATTTTCATATGAATTGTATATAAATTTTCAAGAGGATTATTTTAAATTTAAAAAAAGAGCTCTGTTGTCTAATTTGTTAAAACTTGGATTTTCCTCAAATTTTACTTAATTTTAACATGTTCTTCTTTGATGCTTAATTTTATTTTATTTTATTTTATTTTTTATTTTTTTTTTTTCCCCTTTATTATATTTTATTTTTTTTAAAGTTGTAGATTTACAATTTTTTGTGCTTTGGTTTCAATTATACAATGATCAGATACCCATCCCTCCACCAGTGCCCATTTTCCACCACCATGGATAATATCCCTCCCACCCCCATCCCCCCATCCCCCCGTCTCTGTGGCAGGGCAATCCCCTGTGTTCTCTCTGATGCTTAATTTTAAATTCATTCTCTGTATTGAATTTTCTTCGTACTATATTTGTTTACTCATTAGAATTTTCAGATCTGAGGTTACTTGCAGACTTTGCAATTTCTTTTGATTAAAATTTAATTGTAATTTATACGAAAACTCTTCACCAGTGGGTCATTTACCGTTAAGTACTAAATTCACAGACCTAGGGAATTTTCCCAGAGATTTCCTGAGCCTTGTTAGTTGTCATCATAAAATTATGATCTGGGAGATTGTTTTGTGGTAAAATCCTGTTCGTATGACAAAGCCTTTCAAAAGGCTGTCATTTGATGATTGAAATGAAGCCCACTTCCTCTCAGTTAAGGAGGTGTTTTATTTTAATCTTCCTAAGGCTCACTGCTAAGCAGAGTTTACTTTTTAAGTCATGTTTAACTAACTGTAGTACATGTTTTATTTGCCAGCACGAGATTATCCGTGGACGCTCAAAAACAGACGCCCAGAAAAACTTCGAGACTCACTCAAGGAGTTGGAGGTATCTTTCCAAAAGTTTCCAAAATGGCAACAAACAAATCTGTTTTAAAACATCTTTCAACAGCTTTAATTTTCATAAAGGATCAGCTCTCATGGTGATGATAGCTTTGCTTTTGTCCAGTGGGGAGTTTCAAAACAGTTGCATCTTTGTGTGCCATGCTGACTTGCTGACTTTTTTTTTTTTTTGCTTGCAAATCAGAAGCACTTTAACTGACAACAACAATGTATATAGCCAACTGCACTCTCTCCTTTTCTCTTTCCTTCAGGAGCTGATGCAAAACAGTCAGTGTGTGCTGAGCAAATGGAAGAACAAATATGTCTGTCAGGTAAAATGGCTTGACATGCTTTTGCAGTGTTTAACCAATGGAGCTGAAAACTATGCGGTTGATTGGTTTTCTTGTGTTATGATAGGTAATGGACAAAACTTTTTAGGAGCAGATATTTCATAGTTTGAATTCTAATCATTCTAGTACTAACATTAGGAAGATTGACATAGGCCACCAGACTACCACGTTAATTCGTATTGTTGTACTGACACAAAATAAAAACTAATGAAAATCTTTTCAGAATGTATTTTTTATTTGGATTTTCCTGAACATTGTATTTGGTGATTACTGGCACCAGTTTTCACTGACATCATTTATCATCCTTTTGGATAAAGATAAAAATCACAGGACAAAGGAATTTTTGGATATAGTTTTAGAAAGAATTTGTGAATAACTGCCATACTTATGGAAATCAACACACAGACTACAATTGTAACTAACATAACAAGACATTTTGTCTTGCTTTTTGAACCCTCTAATGTGCTTTTTAACATGGTAGATACTATGGCTATTTAAAATAAAATTAAACTAATTAATATTTAAATAAAATTTGGTATTCCATCCCTACTTGCACTACTTACATTTTAAGTGCTTGATAGACACATATTATCATACGGTGGACAATGTAGGTACAGAACATTTCCATTACAGAAAATTCTTTTGGATAGCACTTAGTAATGTTGGCCTTATGCAAGATCAGCTGAATGTTTAATGGATTTGGATTCAGAACATAATGAGGAAATGATAATGGGTGTCTACTGAGCACAAATGATGGAGAAATACTTCAGCTTTATTGATAGGACCTAAAAGTAAAACTTGCCTGGAAAAATTTACTTGCTTTTGATTAAAAAAAAGTTAGTCTTTTTCTACTCAAACATATAGCTATTGCAGTGCTATTCGTAATTATAACTGCTATAGAAAGGTGAATTTCCTTTACTAAATTAAATTCTTTACTGTTTACATTTTTATTTTTAGGTTTTACTGCTGTTTGAAGTTAGACCAGTGACTCTATCCATAAATCACCATATCAAATTGATAGTAATTACAAACATATCTTGATCTATTACTCAGCTACAGACTCATTTTGGTGCATTCTATTTTTCTCTTTTCTTATATAAACTAGTAAACTTTTACTTGGGAACAGTCAACTAGTGTTCTCTTCAATTGGTAAAAATATGACTTTGCATCTAAGTATCATTAACTGTTTATAAGTTTGCAAATAATTACCATTATTTTTAGAATCATAATGTTTCCTGATAGCACATACTATTCAAAAGGATGGAATTATTTTAATTTTTATAATTTGATTTAATAAAGTTCTAAATTAGATTTTGAAAGTTGAATATAAATATGCCCCAGAAATTTTTTTAACTTTGTACAACTCAAATTGTACTTCTCAATGCCATTACTCACCTTAAAAGCAAGCTCAAAATTCTTTGACTGGAGGGCAAGCCTACCACCTATAGTAAGAGGTGTGTCTCATGATCTCCACCCTTACTGTTGTGCAGGGTGAGTTGGGACATGTCATGAATCTTAAAATATGCACTAGGCAATGCTTTATAAATAGACTTTATTAGATTTAAAGCAAGTTTTGTGTGTTTGTGAATGGGCAATGGGAATATGAGGAGGGATGTCTCTCACATTAAAATGAAAGCAGCTTAGAAAGAATTTCTATGGTAGTGTATATGTAAAATTTTTCTGCTTTATAGCACCCTGATAATAGTGATTTTTAAAACTTATATATCAGTGAGTTTGCTTTTTAAAGTTCCAGAGAAACTAACTTATATATTTTTATACCTTCACATATTGTGCTTTATTCCTTTGATTGGTAAGAAATTCCAAAGCTAATTCTTTTATAACCAGACATTCTTTTTTTTTTCCATTTTTTAAAAATTTTTATTAGTGAGACACCATGAGGTACAGTTGTAGACTTACAAGTTTTGTGCTTGGGTTTCAATTATACAATGATCAAATACTCATCCCTCCACCAGTGCCCATTTCCCACCACCACGGATCCCAGTATCCCTCCCACCCCCCACCCCCCATCCCACCCTGCCTCTGTGGCAGGGCATTCCCCTCTGTTCTCTCTTTCCTTTTGAGTGTTGTGGTTTGCAAAAGAAGCATTGAGTGGCAGTCATGTTTGGTCTATAGTCTACTTTCAGCATGCTTCTCCCATCCTGGGAGGATCCTCCCAACACCCTTTATTTTAACCAGACATTCTTGATGTGATGTATTTAAATAAGTTAGAGATATCTTGGACCCTGTCATCAGGTCCAGGCTTGTCCCCACAAGCTGGTGGCCTTTGTGAGATCTCCTAATAGTATTTGTCCACTTTTTCAGTTTCTAGATAGAATTGTTAGTTTAGGTCTTCTAAAAATGTGTGTGTTACTCCTAAAGATTTCTAACACAGAGAATAAAAAATTGAAGGAACCCCTTATGTTTTTGTTAGTTGCAAATTAATCTGTTTCCGTAGGTTCCTCTAAAGTTCTTTTTTTTTTCATGCACCTATCTGGCGTGGTGACTCCCAAGATAAAATGTGTTTAATATCATATAGCAATCAATCATCACAAATTGACTTTTATTTACTTATTTTATGATAATCGCATTTTCCACTACTCTTAAGTTTTTTTTTTTGGATCAAGTAATATGAAATAAATGTATTATGAGCTTGCTAAGGGGCAGGCTGTGGGATTGGTGGAAAAGCTGAGACATTGGTGGAGGCATTGGTGATGGGATTGATGTTGGAATATTGTATGCCTGAAACAACTGTATTATGAATAACTTTGTAGATCATGGTGACTTAATAAACATAAATTTAAAATAACTTAATTTCTATTTGTGAAATATTTGTTTAGCTATAAAATGGCAGAAGTTGACCAAAGCATAATGTTCAAAACTCTTAGGAAAGGAGGCATTACCTACTGATTTCCTGTTATCATGAACCTAAGGCTGTAGCAGTAGCCTTGCACACAGCCAGCTCGGCCAAGCTGGGTTCGATTCCTCCGCCCCTCTTGGAGAGCCCTGCAAGCTACCGAGAGTATCTTGCCCACAGAGTAGAGCCTGGCAACCTACCCTGACATATTCCATATGCCAAACACAGTAACAAGTGTCACAATGGAGACGGTACTGGGCCTGCTCGAGCAAATCGATGAACAATAGGAGGACGGTGACAGTGATAGCATGTAGTTTTCAAAGTAGGAATAAATGCATGCCAAGCATTTATCTACTTTATAAAGGGAGAATAACGTTTATTTCCATAGCTGGCTAATCAGAATTCTTTATAGAATTATATTTGAATAATTGAAATAAAAATTTTTTTGGTGGGGCCTTAACTGGTGATGATTGATGACTCTGTGCTTCTGGCTCTGTGCTCAGGGAAAATTCGTGGTGGTACTTGGAGAACCAAGAGCCACATGTGGTACTGGGAATTGAACCGGGGGTCAGTGGCCTGCAAGGCAAGCATCTTACCTCCTGTACTGTATTTCCAACTCCTGTAATGAGGGTTAATCATGAGGGTTAGTCAAAATCCCTCTGAAAATGTTCTGATACATGCACTATATAATATATATATATAATACATATATTTTACTTTACTTAAACACCCTGGTTTACAAAGTTGTTCAAGATACTGCACAATTAACAGAACAGGAATGAGGATGAAATATCCAATACGATTCCAAGGTTCAAGGAGTTGGATGACTGCAAACTTCTTTTAGTGAAACATTCTGTTAATGAGCAATTGTGGTAATTAGGAATGAAATGAAGAGCTTTTCTTTCGATCTCTATATTTATTATGTTTTCAAATGAATAATAAGTTGTGAAGACATAAATACTTATTAAGTTGTTTGAATCTTTTTATTAAATGAAACCACTGCTATTTCTTTCCCCAAAAATTATGAGGTGCAGAAAGTGTCCTGAGCTGAGAGGTCTGGGAGCCTCTGATCTAGACTTTGGATTTGACTGTGGCCCTTTTTGAGCCCCACATGATTAAAGCTCCACCTTCTCTTCTGTACTAGCAATGTGAACTTAAAATAATTAACCTGTCTATTCCAGAGTTTATATAGCTATAAAATGAAGTTAAAAATACTTGACTTCTAGGTTTATCATAAAAATTAAATGAGGTAACATGTATAAAATGTTTACAGCAGTTTCTGATAGATTCCTGCTTTTCAAATAAGTAAAATCAACTCTGCAGTTGAAAGTTTGCAATCCTTTTTTGTTTTGTTTTTGGGTCATATTCAGCAGTGCTCAGGGCTTACTCGGCACTTTATGCTCAGGGATCACTTCTAGCAGTGCTCAAATCCAGGTCAGCTGTGTATAAGGCAAGTGCCCTGCCCACTGTACTGTTGCTCTGCTCCCACTAATCAATTCCTAAAAGTTTTAATTAAGAGTTTTTTTTTTTAAATGTGACTGACCAGTTTTCCCAAAACCGTTGCTTGAAGAAGCTGTCCTTGCTCCACCTTACACTCCTAGCTCCTTTGTTGAAGACGACATATTTCCATAAGCTGAGCTCTTTTGTTGAAGATATTTTTAAAAGATGAGCACCTTTGTCAAAGGTACTTGAGAGTCTATCTCTGAACTCTCAATTCTGTTGCACTGGTCTGACAGTCTACCATTATTCCAGAACCACACTGTCTTGATTACTGTCGTTGTGTACAGTAGTTTAAAATTGGATAAAGAAAAGCCTCCCATATTTTTCCCTAAGATTGCTTTGGTTATTTGGGGGAATTTTATTATTCCTTATCAATTTTATAAGCATTTGGTCTGTCTTTAAAAAAATGTCATGAGTGTTTTTATAGGGACTGCATTGAATCTGTATAGTGTTTGGGGGAGGATTATCTTGTCATTTTGTCAATATTAACCCTTTTCATCCATGAGAAGAGGATGTATTTCTGTTTCCTGTGTCTTCTATTTCTTTTAATCGTCACTTACAGTTTTCTTTGTATGTCTTTCACCTCTTTTGTTAAACTAATTCACAGGTAGTTTTGAAGCACGGTTGT